CAGGTGGAAGGTTAATCTACCATACAAATGCTCCCCCAGTTAGAGAGTTTGGGAATAGTCTCAACTTCATATAGTCATGATTGGTAAATTCACCGCATTGAGCAGCAAACCTAGCAATATGCTCTACTGTTGATTGGTTTCCGTTCCCATAAAAAATGACAAAATCTGGTATCCTGAAACCCCTTGGGTATTCATGTACCCTGTCGACCCATTCTGGGTATGGTTTTCTGTACACAGGAGTTTGGACCCCCCGAGCCATTAGTCCACACATCTCCCTAACTATATCAGCAATTTGGTCCCTAGGGACCATATTTTGTGCCTTCTGAACCACTACTGGGGGAACAAACACAGGATTTGGTGGACAAACTTGTGCTTATGGTCCTCTTGGTCCATAGGGTGGTACATTTGGGACTGGTTATCCCTGTGGTACAGGTTGCTGTTGGGGGTGTGGGTAACCTCTTTGAGCCTGTCCTGCGAAGGGACCTACAAAAAGTGCTGGAACAGGTGTTGTATCCTTTCCATTTGTGGGAAAACCTTCCAACCCTCCGGGTATAAATTCGAATAAGGGATTATTGTACCCGCTAGTGCTAGGTATGGCTTCGAACATGGGATTTGGAACCATTCTTATGCCATTTTCTTGTACTGGGCCAGATTCACCAACTTGCATGGCTTCACTGTTGAACATTGAGGCATTTTGGCCTGCTATAGGCCTCGAAACGGGTTCGTACCAAGACTGAGGTAGTGGTCTTTCATGACTCTGATTACTAGTTTGACCATTAGAATGTCCATTAACTTGCATAGGTTGTTTATCTCTAGCCAATCTTTGCGGAGGGACATTTACTTCCTCCATGTGTCTTGCATTTGTTGGTTGGTGGTTATTCATTCGATCCAAAAAGGATGTTACCCACCTTTCCATTGTGTTTATTAATTGCTGTCCCATGGCATCTACTAGACCACCCCATGGATTCACTGGCTGAGTAGATGAGACAGTGGATGGTCCAATTCCTTGGTCTCATCCAATATTACGAACAAATGGTATTTGTTCTGAAGTACTGGTCTGTTCGACCATAGGTTCCGATAAAATAGGAGTTTCCACAGGATGTGTTATCACATTATCCTCTGGATTAGGTATCTCTACCTCTCCTTCCACGCCTTCTTCCAAGCGTTCATTTTCTCATTGTCTCCTATGTCTAGCCATTTTAAATGCGTCCCACTAGGCGTGCCAAAAATATATGTTGGCTTTTTGGCTTTCGAAGGTTATTTTTGTAATTATGAGCGTGTCAACAAGGATCAATCAGTCCTTATAGAATTTTGATTGCCAACCAATTATCAGACGATTGTGCTGTAGTTCTTTCAGCCTCAATGAAGAGGACTTTTACTGGTAGCTTGATTTAGGAGAATTTAAGCACAAGAACAATTAAATAAAGAGCAATTGAAGCATTTCATTAGTATGAAAAACTTACAATGATCCAAACTCAGCCTCGTAGAGGTTTACAACGACAATCTACTTGAAACTACTCCTATGAATGAAGTGCAGTGCAGGAATCTAAAGTACAGGAATGTAAAGAACAGGAAATATAAAAACTGGAACGAAATATGTAAAGTAAGACTGGTTTCTTTGATCTGAGTCCGGGGGGATTTTCCAGGGCCTTTTCTACTATTTATACTGCTCAAACATGACAGTCGAACTGTATTTCCAACCGTCGAACTGCTCCTCCATGATCGCTGATTATGTAGCCTCAAGATTAGCTCCATTATGCCATCATTTGCAATTAAGCTTCCCTCCTAAATTTGAATTTAAATAAGAATAACCGCTGATGCCACATCACCTTACATCTCTTTGTTGATTCACTACTACTCAGATCTCATAACAACCAATATCAACTGCCATGTGTACGATCAGGATCGAAGACTTGAATGGTCTCCCCATATTACCCTTATATTGCCACGCGTCAAATTGTAACTGACTTGTACAAATTATGTAGTCAATAATTTGCAATTAACATCTCCACAAGTTGGTAGGGCATGAACATCATAAAACATGTACATGATGCCTAATATTCCCAATTAAAGCAATTGATAATAACGCCTCGTTTGGCTAGTGACTTTTTTAGTTAAAAAGTCAAAAAGTCACTAAAAAATAAAAAAGCCAACTTTTAAAACTGACTTTTTTAGTTTTCGTATTTTTTTATTTTTAGTGAATATTTTTTAAATTTTGAACCATTTTTTTTTACTTTTTTAAATGCACCTTACTTAGATGTATGTAAAAAGGAAAAAATTTGTGAAAAAATATTTTAAAAAATTAATAAATACATAAAAATATAAAAAATGTATTAAATTCTTGTATTTTTTGTATTTTTGGTATTAGTGAATTTTTAAAAGATTTTTTTTACAATTTTTTTACTTTTTAAGTGTATTTTATGTTAGGTGTGTCTAAAAAGTAAAAAAATTGCTTAAAATATTAAAAAAATTCAGTAAAAACAAAAAAAAAAACACGGAAAATAAAAAAGTAGAATTTTCTGGAAAATGTTTTTTGAAAAGTGGAAACAAGCAAAGCTATTAGTTTTTTTTACATCACATTTTAACTAAAAAATCAAAAAGTTACTAAAAAAGCCTGTTCCCAAACGAGGCCTAAGTCTTTCCAGGTGAAGGTTTAAGTAATGATGGTCCATTTATCTTAACCTTTGGGTGTGTTTGTTTTGAAGGATTAAGGTATGAGATTGGACTATTAGTCCCACTGGATTAATAGTCCATTATTTGTTTCATTTTTTTGCTCCGGACTATTAGTCCCACAAATATGGGACTATCTTATCCCATGGGGGGGTTGGGATAGAAACCATGGGATTGGTATCCCATGGGATTATTTTGTGAAATGTTCATTTTACCCTTCATTCTATTACTTAGTAAACAATTAGAAAAGGGTAACATAGCTTTTTAAACATTTATAAATTATTTTTTTAGTATTGTTAATTTAAAATTATATATTAAATAAAAAATTTTAATTATAAATTAAATTTAATTAAAAATAATAAATTAAAAATAATGGCCTTATAAATTAAAAAAAAAATTATATGTTGAAAATTTAATTTATATATTAAATAAAATTATTTTTTTAGTGTTGTTAATTTAAAATTATATATTAAATAAAAAAATAAATTATAAATTTAATTTAATTGAAAATTATAAATTACAAGAGTAAAATAGTCTTTTAAATATTTATCTTTATCCAGTCCATCTACCCAAATATTGTATTCACTAAAAATAGTTCAATCCAGATATATAATCCCATGACTAAACAAACATAAAATACAAATCCAGTCCAATTAAATAGTCCGGAGACAATGTATCCCGAAAATAATAATCTGATGAATTACAATCCCCTTATCCAGTCCGTCCAATCAAACACGCGCTTTAAGTATTGCATAGTTCTTATATTCCGTCTCTTCTTATCTTAATATATATTTATATTCTCTCGCCCATGTCCCCAAGGAAAAAATTCCCAAAATTAAGATTTTTTTTTATAGTAAAAAGATGGGTCAGCCCCTAACAAATGATAGTTAATCAAATTTTTTTATAGCTCCAATTTTTGTACACAATTCAATCATGCTAGAAACAATTTATTCCACTTTAAAACAGAGAAATTAAACACAATATCAACACAAAATTTATATAAACGGATAAGATTTTACACAATTTGTTAATTATATTTATTTTTATTAAAATTTAATCTATTCATATACATTTTTGTAAACAATTATAGCGGCTTAAAACATCAAGAAGAACATGTATGGAAAGTGTGATGGATGATTTTGTAGAATTAGATGCTTTCTCATTTGAGAAAAGACTTGGTTGGCTTTGCGTTTTACAAGTTAAAATTAATAATCAAAAAACAGAATTAAATATATCACTTCTCTAACTTTCTAATCGTTAATTTTTTTAAAAATTTATTATTTTCACTCATGAACTACAAGTAAAAATTGTATCAAACACTAAAATCACTTATTCTTTTAACTTTATCAGTCACTCTAAGCACAAATTCTCAAAACAAAATAATTACAACAATCTTATAAGCTGAATCAAACAAATTAGTGGGGTTGGTTGGTATTCAAAACTAGATGTTAAAAGTACTCATCACCCAACTTTTAAACTTCAATTTTTAAAAATTATTTAGGCTTCGTTTGGCAAGAGCTAAACGGGACTTTTTTGGCTATTTTAGTCACAAAAAATAAAATAGACTATTTTAGTCACAAAAAATAAAATATCACATCAAACTTATAATCATTACATTATTCTCTCACAAAAAAAGCTAAAAAAGGCAAAAAGTCAAAAAGTCCTTCCCAAACTAAACTTTTTAACCCAGACTAAAATAGCAAAAAAGTCAAAAAGTCAACCCATTTTCCAAACGAAGGCTTAAGTTACTTCTAACTAATAAATTATAAACAAAAGTTACATTAAACAGTCATATTCTCAAAATAAAAAAAATTATAAACAGCTTTGAAAAACTACACTAAACATGCAAAGTAACACAAATTTTCAAAAATTTTAAAAAATATTTAAATAATTACATAAATTTTGCTTCAACTATAACATCCACCAAATACAAACCCGAGCAATACTACAACTCCAAATATAAAAACTCAAAAAATATTCAAAATTTTACGTCAACAGTTTAGATTCACTTAAGATATGAGTTGAAAATACCAACTTTAATTAACCATAGAATTGTTTTCCTTTTTTTTTTTTTTTTGAGACCATATACGAACCCCTCATAAATAAAAAAAACAACTGGACAAATGGCCATCTCGAAGTCTCAACATTGGCAGTTGTCATTGTCACCAAACATCACTCTCCAGTTTAACCGCCTTGTTTTAAACTCAAAAAGGATGGATCCTGGAAGCTTCCTATATATTTTCTTAATTCCTTGAAGAAAGAGAAAGAGCAATGCACAGAGATTTAGTTAGAGAAAGCAAACAGTATATATATACATAGCACAATGAAGTATATATATACATAGCATAATGAAGGTGACAGACCCCAAGTCCTCCTCACAGTCCTAGTCACATTCCTCAATGCATACACACAAACCCAATTGCTCTATCCTATTTTAAACCCCATTGTTCAATCATTAGATTGAATCTCACTCGTCTTTTTCTTTCTTTTTCAATCTTTTCTATTCCTGCCCACAAAAGCAAGCAAATCCACAGCTGTCATTGGATTCTTCCTGGAAGCTCTCTAATTTCCACCGTTTGGGTCTTTGTTTCTTCCCTCAAAAGCTTCACTTTCTTTTGAATCTCCTTTGGAGTCATAGAAACAGCCTCTACAGTCACTTTCTTAGTCAATTTGCTGTTTCTTAGGCACCAAGCTTGTATGAACTCGTTTCTTTCTATATATATAACATTAGAGTTTCTTTGTGTATTTTTGATTTGGATCAATTATGGGTAAAGGTGGCCATATCAATGTTAACAGAGAAATCCCGAGTCCAAGAAAAACTCCAAATCATGAAGCCGAAACCTTCCAGGCATGGGCGAAACAAGTCCAAGAATGCGAAAAACACTACGATGTCAACACAGTCTCAGGACTGACCTCTTCGGAGGTCGAAAAGCGCCGCCAAATTCATGGCTACAATGAATTGGACAAGCATGATGGTCCATCGATATGGACCTTGATTTTAGACCAATTCAACGACACTCTTGTTCGAATCCTCCTCGCCGCTGCCATGGTCTCTATCGTACTTGCCTTGTGCGATGGAGGCCAAGAAGGCAGCGGCGACAAGCTCACACCCTTTGTAGAGCCTCTGGTCATCTTCTTGATCTTAATAGTCAATGCGATTGTGGGTGTCTGGCAAGAAAACAATGCAGAGAAAGCATTGGAGGCTCTCAAAGAGATCCAATCCGAGCAAGCCACTGTGATTCGAGACAATCAGAGAAGTACCAATTTAGTCGCGAAAGAGCTCGTTCCAGGCGACGTTGTTGAGCTCAAAGTGGGCGATAAAGTCCCAGCAGACATGAGAGTTGTGGAGCTTATAAGCTCCACGGTTCGTGTCGAGCAGGGCTCATTGACAGGCGAAAGCGAGGCGGTTAATAAGACTAACAAGGCTGTGGCTGAAGATGCTGACATTCAAGGTAAAAAATGTATGGTTTTTGCAGGGACAACAGTTGTTAATGGGAATTGTATTTGCTTGGTGACCCAAATCGGAATGGAGACAGAGATTGGCAAAGTCCATACCCAAATCCATTTTGCTTCGCAGAGCGAAGAAGACACTCCATTGAAGAAGAAATTGAACGAGTTTGGTGAAGCCTTGACTAAAATCATTGGGTTAATCTGTGTGCTGGTTTGGATCATCAATGTCAAGTACTTTTTCACTTGGGAGTATGATAATGGGTTTTGGCCTAAGAATTTCAAGTTTTCGTTCGAGAAATGCACGTATTACTTTGAAATTGCCGTCGCGCTGGCTGTTGCGGCTATCCCAGAAGGCTTGCCCGCAGTGATCACCACGTGTTTGGCACTCGGCACTAGAAAGATGGCGCAGAAGAATGCGCTGGTGAGAAAATTGCCCAGTGTGGAGACTTTGGGATGTACAACTGTGATTTGTTCTGATAAAACTGGTACTCTGACTACGAATCAAATGGCAGCGGCGAAGATTGTAGCCATGGGTACTAATTCAAATGAGCTTAGAAGGTTTAAGGTGGATGGGACTACTTATAATCCTTGTGATGGAAAAATTCACGATTGGCCGGTGCACGGGATGGATGTTAATCTTCAAATGATTGCAAAGATTGCAGCTGTTTGCAACGATGCCGGTGTTGCACATTCAGAGCATAAATTTGTTGCCAGTGGAATGCCTACCGAGGCAGCTCTAAAGGTAATAAATCTCTCAATGCTTAAATAGATTTGAAATTAGTTTGAATATATGCATATTAGGTGATAAACAAAGCATTCGAATAATCAAAATCAGTAATATGTTTGTGATTAGTACCTGAAGAAAGAAGTTTTGTTTGTGATTGGAACATGTAAACACAGAAATGTAGTATCATTAACTAGCCAAAATTATGGATAATTCTTGAACTTTTTACCTTGTTATTTCAGGTTCTAGTTGAAAAAATGGGCTTGCCTGATGAATCTGACGATGATGAGATGTGCCCAAGTCCCAGTGATTTGTTATTAAGTATGTTAGAATTCAGTTGAATTTTTCGTTGTTTGCTCTCTTTTTTTGTTTGACTTTGTATTTGAGCATACCCACTTCGAGATTGATTTTATGTGCTTTGCTTCTAATCTGTTCTGTTATTTAAGGATGTTGTCGCCACTGGAAGAGAACTGAACGTCGAATTGCAACTCTTGAGTTTGATAGGGATAGGAAGTCCATGGGTGTTATTGTCAACTCTCAATCCGGGAATAAGACATTGCTTGTTAAGGTAATATAGAAAGATTAAAATGCTGTGATTGTTTTCACATACATTTCTTTTCCTAAACCTAGTGTTTGTATTGCAAATTTTTGTGTGGTAAATTATGGCAGGGTGCAGTAGAAAATGTATTGGAGAGAAGCACAAAAATTCAATTGCATGATGGTTCTGTCATGGAATTGGATCAAAATTCAAGGACCCTAATTTTGGAAGCCCTCCATGAAATGTCAAGTTGCGCATTGCGTTGTTTGGGTTTTGCATACAAAGATGATCTCCTGGATTTTGAAACGTATGACGGCGATGATGATCATCCGGCTCATGAGCTTTTGCTCAAACCATCAAATTATTCATCAATCGAGAGTAAACTCACTTTTGTTGGCTTGGTTGGCCTGAGGGTGAGTTATGCCACGTCAATCTTTGGCACTCAGCTTTTAAGCTTGCTTATTGGCTTAAAATAAGACCACAATATTGCTTAAATAAACTGATTTGTTTGGCATATTCCTAACTTTTTTTTTTTGATTGACTTTTCTATTGAATTTTTGAAGTGTTTAAAATTGGCATTTGGAGGGAAATAAGCATGCCAATGACGTAAAGTTTTTATTTTTTATTTTTTATTATTATTTTTTTATATATATTTGTTTTTATGAAATTTTTATAGAAAAATGGACTTATAAGCCCAGCCAAACAAAGCCAATTCTGCTTCATTTTATACCCTTCAGAATATTTTGAAAGAACTAATGTGATTGTTGTTTAAAACCTTCATAGGATCCTCCTCGAAAAGAGGTTTACGGAGCAATTCAGGACTGCAAGGTGGCTGGCATCCGCGTTATGGTTATCACGGGAGATAACAAGAACACAGCAGAAGCCATATGTCGCGAAATAGGAGTGTTTGGACCCAAAGAAGACATTAGTTTGAAAAGCTTAACCGGGAAAGAGCTCATGGCGCTTCATGATCAGAAAGCCCACCTAAGACGAAAGTGGTGGTCTTTTGTTCTCTAGGGCCGAGCCACGACATAAACAAGAAATTGTGAAGTTGCTTAAAGAAGATGGAGAGGTGGTTGCCATGACCGGTGATGGAGTGAATGATGCACCAGCTTTGAAACTAGCTGATATTGGAATAGCTATGGGAATTGCTGGGACAGAGGTGTGTTTTTTCTTCATTTTCTTTAGGTTAGCATTGTTTGAAACTTGAAACTAATTTCTCTTCTCTTTCCAGGTTGCTAAGGAAGCTTCTGATATGGTGCTGGCTGATGATAATTTCAGTACGATAGTTGCTGCAATAGGTGAAGGGAGGTCTATCTACAACAACATGAAGGCTTTCATCAGGTGCTTTCCCATCTTCCCCTCGAAGCAGTAAATGATCGAAGCATATAAAGATAAAAGATAGAGCAAGATTTTGAAAAGGTTGACTCAAGAATGAATACCAAAAGCAAAATTATTATTTTTTAAATCTGTTGATTCTGTACGAATGCAAGAATTAAAGGCATCAACAGTTGGCTGATTCATAATGAATACCCAAAAGTTAAAAGAAAAAGAGAGAGACTCAAAATTTTATTAATCACCAAAAAACTGTTTTCACCGTTACAATACTTGGTTTATATAGAAGAAACCAATCCTAAAATCAATCACTGCATTAAAAGAGTTGATAAAAAATGTTTCCTAAGGGAAAATCTACAATGATAGCATTAATCCATCTCAACCATAAAACTATATCTTGAATCACTTATAAACATTTGCAGCTTTTTACACATCAAGAAAAGGGTAATTCATAATCCTGCTTGTAGCAGAAATGAACTTTCAATTGGGCTCATGTTGTGAATTGTTTTCACCCTATTGCAGGTACATGATCTCCTCAAATATAGGTGAGGTTGCCTCAATATTTTTAACAGCGGCATTAGGGATCCCGGAAGGCCTAATCCCTGTCCAACTCTTGTGGGTCAACCTTGTCACAGATGGACCTCCTGCGACAGCCCTTGGATTCAATCCACCAGATAGGGACATCATGAAGAAACCCCCTCGCCGAAGTGACGACATGCTCATCAGTCCTTGGACTTTATTCCGCTATCTGGTAAAAAGTTTGGAAAAACTGATTTCACATTGCAAAAACTGATTTCCATGAGATTGAAGTCTACTAATCTGTATATTTAACAAATGGATTATGTGCAGGTGATTGGGCTATATGTTGGAATGGCAACTGTTGGTGTATTCATCATTTGGTACACACATGGCTCATTCTTAGGCATTGACCTTAGTGGTGATGGGCACACATTGGTAACATACTCTCAGCTTGCAAATTGGGGCCAATGCTCATCTTGGGGAAATTTCACAGTTTCACCATTCACAGCTGGGAATCAGGTCTTCTCATTCGATGACAACCCGTGTGATTACTTCAAGCGCGGAAAAGTGAAAGCTACAACACTCTCTCTCTCCGTCCTGGTTGCCATCGAAATGTTCAATTCACTCAATGCCCTCTCTGAGGACTCGAGCCTCTGGACAATGCCACCTTGGGTTAATCCTTGGCTCCTTGTGGCAATGTCAATCTCATTCAGCTTGCATTTCCTGATTCTCTATGTGCCATTCCTTGCTCATGTGTTTGGCATAGTGCCCCTCAGTGTTAATGAATGGGTCTTGGTTTTGATTGTGGCTCTGCCAGTGATTTTCATTGATGAAATTCTGAAGTTTGTGGCAAGGTCCTCCAGAGGGTTTCTAGCATCCAACACAAGGAAATCTTTCAAGCCAAAGGCTGAGTGACACAAATGGTGAAGAGTTGAGAATGTTGCTAATAAAGATGCCTTTGATTTGGAGACTTTTAAGATGTAAAATGCTATACAGAAAGAGATTTCTTACTCGATTTTCTTATTACTAGACATGAAGCACACGAGTTTGGTAGGAAAAAAAATATGATAAGAAATCTGTTTATGTATAACATTAGTCTTGTTTGATACAAGTCTGTCATAGATGTATTTCCTATAAGCTTGTTATACTTGGTCCAACTCTTGACCCTCAACATTTGGTACAAGGAGGGATGGGTTGGACATTGAAGAACTCTGTGAACCTTTTTTGCACCTATATATGTATATATACCTTCCTTCATCTTTTTAATTTTCATTTTTGTTTTAAAATTAAGCTTGTGTAAAACTTCAATTGATGCAAAATATAAGTTTGAGAGATTACGGCTTTGTTTGATTTGTCACTTGAGAGACAATTTTTGAAAAACAAATTCAAAGTAACTTCTCTGCAGTACACATTATTCAATCACTTTTTCTATCTCCTCACTCATTCTCTCACATCCTACATATCGACCAATCAATTTTTCTCTTAGATCCATTTATTTAACTACAAATAAATAAATAAATAATTCCAAACTCTAAAATTATTTTCAAAACATACAACTAAATAAATTTTTAAATTTTATAAGCTCTTTTCAAAAAGCTAATTTTCAAAATTATTTTATAAATACAAACCAAACATGGCGTATATTTTCTAGTACTGGCTATCTTGACTATAAACTCTTTAGAAAATCAAGTACTTGAATATTTGTTCCAAAAAAAAATAAAATTAAAAATGCACATGAATATAGTAAATGAAAAACATCAGTCTAACATATTCATTTTAATATGAATATTTCGTCTAATTTCATTTTGCGTGTCATATATTATACATATTAAACAAAGCAATAATGGCAGCAACTAAAATATCTACAAAGGGATGTTTGTGGTTCTGGTCCTAATCACATACCACATTTTATCAATTTGCTTGTAATTCTTAAAAAAATTAAAAGCAACCTCAAATTTAAAAAATACTTATAAAACTTGTGATTTAAAATTTTAAGATGATGGTAGTTGTTTTTTTTCTCTTCTTTTTTCTAAATGTTCTTCAAAAGAAAAAGAAATCAAATGTTTTTTCAAATATTATTTTCATTTTTACTTTTAAAAACGTCACTTGATGATGGTGGGTATGCCATTATTTTTTTGAAGAGGGATGCCAAACAATTATTTAAGAAAAAAAAAATAACGAACAAAGTGAATACTAGAATGCGTGTAATTGTGGTGTTTTGGAAAATTGGTAAAAAATTGATTTTTTGACTTTTTTGATGGCTTTTTTGGCAAAAAACTGGGTTGAATAGATACATGACGATGTACTCACCTGAGAATTTCTACTATTAAAGCATTTTATTTTTTTATTTTCACAAATTCTTATAAAAAAAAAGGAGGCAAAATTATTCACAAATTTGTGAAATGTGTGAGACCTATAAACTTGTGACTATTTACTATTATTATTTATTTGAGAATAAAATATACAATTATATATCTAGTCTGAATAAATGGAATGATTAATAATTTAAATTCTGTTTGATTTGATTTTTAGACATATTTTTTAAATCTTAAAAAAAAAATTGGAAACTAATTTCATTAAAAAAATAATAAATAAAAAACACTCGCCATTTTTATATGATTTTATATTTTTCTAGAATAAAAATAATTTTAAAATTTTATATTTTCCAAGCTAATTTCTATTTAAAATAAAATAAAAATTCAAGAAAACCAAACCTGGAATTTTTGACACCCTAATATGAGATTGGGCCGTGACTGCCAATTATATATGCAAAACCGGCCCGGCCCATTTATCGTGAATTCAAAACCCTTGGATTCAATGAAAACGCATCCAGACCGTCGAAACTTGTCGGTTTGTTACTATAAATACAGGCACAGAACACAACACGCTTGCTTTGTCTCTCAATCAGAGGAAGCTAGGGTTCCTAATCAAACTCGCGACAGGGGGCTCTCAGTCCTAAAAGGTACGCTGTTCCACTCGTAATTCCCTGTTTGCCTTGCTCTTAATTTCTTAAATTTTCGGGTTTTAGGCTTCGTATGTCTCTCAATTTCGCTTTATTTATTTATTTGTTTTTAATGCTTAATTTTTCTCTCTACATGTGTATATATATGCTTTGTGATGCTAAAAAGTTGATTGCTTCTTTGGAATTTCCGTGAAACTGTTGATCTCGATATTGTGTTCTTGTGATTCTCATTTTTGCGATCAGGCTAGGTAATTTGCAATTGGGGTTTTAAAATCTTATTGAAAAAGGCTTGTAAAATTATTATTATTATTGTTTTTTTGAAGCACAATTAGAGGTTGCAATGCAGAAAGTTGTAATCTTTTAGCTATTTGAACTGCTTTGCTGGTAAGAAATTGATGTATTAGTCGGCTCAATTTTTCCTAGTACATCTCTCCCCAACCCTACCCTGAAAATCTTCTTTACACCCAAGTCAAGCAAAATAACTCACCCATTTCCATGATTCCTCTAAAAGTTAAGACCTTATAAGTGTTTGGGTTTGGACTTTTGGCTATGAAGCACGGATGCTTCAAATTTGAACACGTATCCGTATTCTATCTATATCGGATACCAATAATCCTTGGATACTTACGGATACGTATCAGATACTTCTTAAAAATATCGTATACTTCTTAATTAATTTTTCATTAATTTTGATGTATCGGATACTTAGTTTTGAAGTATTGGATGCTCCAAGTCACATATTATCGGACACTTCTTAATTAATTTTGAAGTATCAAATGCTCCAAGTCACATATTACTAATTTTACGAAATTAGAACTGTATCATTTCTTGCATTAACAATGATTGAGACCCCCACAACGCTCTTTGGATCTCAACCATTGATGGTGTAGGCCCCACACATACATGAGTAGGTCCCACACATACATCAATGGTTGAGATCTAAAGGGGGTTGTAGGGGTCTCCAAAAAAAGGGGGTCTCCAAAAAAAGGGGGTCTCAAGCATTTTTCTTTTTGCATAACATCATAATATAATATAATATAATATAATTGCGATGATAAATAGAATATTTTTACAATACTTTGCTTGGTTTTTTTTATAAAAATAACATAGTAAGCTAAAGTAATAGAATTCATCAAATTGACATATCTTCATTGTATCATGATGTCCCCTATAACTACATAAAAGTAAGGATTAATAACATAATATAACAATAGTAAAATTAAATATTAATAAATAAATAAGCAAATAAACTTGCATAGAATATTTTTAACTAGTGCAAAAGGAAAAAGTATAGGGTCAAGTTGTGGATTGTTTTGATATTATAATATCAACATATTAGACTTGATATTGAAATGAAATATTTGTAAAACCTATTGAAAATTTAAAAACTAAACTAGCTACTGGCTTAAATTAATACCTAATTTTTAAAGATTAGTATTTTGCATTATAAAGTTACTGTATTTTCTTAACATTCTTGAGCTTATGTGTAACTCACTGTTAATAATTTATTTATTTATTATTTTTTTACAAACGTATCCTAATTGAACCCGTATCCTACTTTTTTAGGTTTTGTTGTATCACCGTATCGGTACCTCGTATCCGTATCCGTGCTTTCTAGGCTGAGAGAGAGAGAGTTGTGCCGTTGTGTGAAAAGGATGTAGCCATTCCACTTGCCATCCCTCATCTATATGTGTATATAAGTTTTTTTTTTAGCACTTCCCATTTTCATCTCTCCTTGTTGATTTTGCACTTTTTGTTTATTGGGGCAAATGAGCAATCAGTGCTTTTTGTAAGGATTATAAAAATAGAGAAAAAATATATTGCAATAAATGGAGATGTCTGAGCTAAAGAGTGATTTTAACTTTGAGGCGAAACAAGAATATTGATTGATTTGTTTGTAAGGGCTATCTGAGAACAAATTGGACCTAGAACTGTTGATTGGATATATTGAATTTGTATAGCCAACACGAAGGTTGTTGGAAAGTTGGAATATTATAAGATCTTGTTGTATTGAGTAGATGATTTGTAAATCTACAGGATTGGGAATTACTCCTTTTGAGACTTTGACTTGAGCTGTCCTAGATTCATATTTTTTTCCCTCTTTTTAACTATATGCTAAGCTGTTGGCTTTTGTCTGATTTTGTTTGAAAAAATTGTTCTACCCCAACTACTGATGTTTTGTGGTGAACTTAATTTTGATGTCATTTTCAAGTCACTTCATTGGTGTTCAATGTAGCTGCTAACTAGGTTTCTTATTACTGCAGTTTGAAAATGCCTCGTTATGATGATCGATACAGTAATACCCGTCTTTATGTTGGTCGCTTGTCTACAAGGACACGTTCCCGTGATTTGGAGGGCCTCTTCAGCAGATATGGGAGGTAAGCACATGGATTGCCCTCCAACTTAATGGTGTTATGTGAAATTGTGCATCGTTGCCTTCTCTGTGAATAGTGCGTAGGTATTTTTACTCCTTTGAAACCTGTTGGTAATGTTGCTCTACATTTATCTTACTTTTTGGTTCATTCTGGTTAATTCTGTAACTACTTTTTAGCCAAGTCAAAGTTGCATCTTTTACAATATAGACCATAGTATTGCTTGTCATAAAAATAAAAAAATAAAAATGCACCGTAATATTAAAACCCTTTATCCTTTCCTTTTAGCTTTTGGGAACTATGTTTACTCGTTATTTGAGAATAATATTTGATGCAATAAACGCGCGCACACAGAAAGTTTGGTGGAACACTATAAGGTGGTGTACGCTTATGGAAGCCAGATCTTTTTGCAGATCGTGTTATATTTATTTTTGTAACCTTTTAATCTAAAACTGCAACATAGTTTCTGGATTAAACGTTCAATCAATGTATGGTGTGAGTTTTGTCTCCTACAACATGTAGGAGACATTTAGTCATTTTCCAAGCCAAGTCAGTGTTTGTGCTTGGATTTATGTTAACTGTTCATCATGTTATATCTGAAGGAACATTGCACCCCCAGGTGTCTGTTTTTTAACTTGAATGGTCTTGTTGAAGGTTTCTGGGCTTTTGCCTAACCTGGAGGTCAATGGTGAGAGGGTGGCCTTGGTGGAGTTTGATGCCGAGTGTCTAGGAGACTCTGGCGATTGTTTCTGTAATGTTATTGCATGTTTTTATGGAATTGCCAACAATCTCAAACTGGTGTTTAGTTCGTCTTGAGGGGCGAAGTATCATACACTTCAGTACTTAAGTAATGATGGCTTACTGTTTCTGGCAACCATTTCCGCAGAGTACGAGATGTGGATATGAAGCACGACTATGCCTTTGTTGTATGTATCAACCATCAACTTGTCTCTAATTCTTGCTTATGATTGTACTTAAGTACTTATCATTTTATTTTTATTTTTATTTTTATTTTTTTATATAAAAAGGTAGCTTATAGGTGGGATTATGGAATTTGGACTTCCCTTGTTTTGTTTTTGCCTCTCTACTTCTATTCACAGGAATTTAGTGACCCCCGAGATGCTGATGATGCAAGATATGGCTTAAATGGAAGAGAATTTGATGGAAGTCGAATCATTGTTGAATTTGCAAAGGGAGTAAGTGTTGTAAACTACATGCTTTGCCTTTTCCTGTTGAATTCCTCTACACGTTCCATTATGGATTGGAATACGGTACAGCCAAAAGAACCAAAAAACTATGAAATGATACTAATGTGAAAAACAATTTCAGTTAATCTTTCAGCCTCACACAAAACATCTCGAGTAAGCCAACTAAGTTGCCCCAATGATCATGAGAACAAGAGGCCATGGGATAGAAACAATGAAATGAACATTGTGAGCATGAAAACACAGACGATAGTAAGTTCTCACTGCATACTATCGTCTGTGTTTTCATGCTCACAATGTTCATTTCATTGTTTCTATCCCATGGCCTCTTGTTCTCATGATCATTGGGGCAACTTAGTTGGCTTACTCAAGATGTCTTGCGTGAGGCTGAAAGATTAACTGAAATTGTTTTTCACATTAGGTATCATTTCATTATATTTTGCTTTGCCAGCTTTTTGGTTTTTTTGGCTGTACCGTATTTACTTTCTTTTCAATTTTTGGTTTCTTGGGCTTTGAGATTGATCTTAATGGATGAATGTATCCCCTTTACGGTTTAACTAATTGTCAGTTTGAGAATTGTCGTATGGTTTTGTGAGGAAAACGATGATCTGGCCATATCATTATTTTATTAGTTATAAATGTTGGTGTTATTCTATCTGCACGTTTGAAGATTTTCATTTATATTAAAACAATGTCAACTTTGATGATGCTTTATATGTAGACGCCACGCGGTTCAAGAGAATATCTGGGTAGAGGTCCTCCTCCTGGATCTGGAAGGTGCTTCAATTGCGGCCTTGATGGTCATTGGGCTCGAGATTGCAAAGCTGGAGACTGGAAGAACAAATGTTATCGTTGTGGTGAAAGAGGTCATATAGAGAGAAATTGCCAGAATAGTCCCAAGAAGCTCAAGTATTGTAGATTTTCTGATTTTTTTCTTCTAATTTTACATTTTGTTTTAGCATGACCTTACCATTTCGTTCTATTGTTAATCGAACAATTTGTTTGTAATGCAGACGGGGGCGGAGTTATTCCCGATCACCAGTGAGATCACGCTCTCCGCGCCGTGGCAGAAGCCGAAGCTACAGTCGAAGCCGTAGCTACAGGTTTTTTTTTTTTGTGTGTGTTTTTTGGATACATTGATTATGGTCGTTTTATTCTGTAATTTGCACTGCAATATTTATTGTATGGAGCTAAGTCTGGCGCTGAATGGTTTATCATAGGCAATGATATATCTGTAGAAGAAAAGGAGAGATCACTGGTTTTTTATGACATCAAACAGGAATCAAAATAAAATTAAAAATAAGAAGATTTTTTTTTTTCTTTTAATTTTAAAAGATTGATGGGGAAAAAAGGACTATATGAAATATGAAGGGGAGGGAACTGTTCTTGTGAATGCAATTGCAGCTGCAGGTGCTCTCACACAATTATTTAAATCAATTACCTTCTTTTGTCAGCCGGTCAAGATCTCCTCCAAGAAGAGAGCGAATTGTTGAGCGTGAAGAGAAGCAAGCCAGGAGCTACAGTAGAAGTCCCGTGCCAACGAGGGCTACTACACCTCCCCCCAAAACAAGGAAGCACAGCCCAACACCTGAGGAGGAGGAGGACATTGTCAGAGAGAGGGATAATAGCCCTTCTCCTAAGAGAGGGAGACCGGAAACTGAGCAGGACAGGTCAGATTACAGTGAGAGCCCCAGAGAAAATAGCAGAAGCCCTGTAAGGGAAAGCCCTGCTGCGGAGAGGTATCAGAGTCCTTCTGATGCTAATGGCCGCAGCCCTACCGCTAGTCCTCGCGATGACAGAAGCCCTGTTGATGACGATGATAATCATCAATCCCCAAGTGGGAGTGAGACGCCTTAATTTGCCAAAAAAAAAAAAGAGAAATGGTGTTGGAAGGAAAATAGGTATCTTGCCCTCTTTTTTCTATTTACATTGCAGTAGGACAAAATAGATCTTGGGGAACTATGACTAAAACTAATACATTTGAAGGCGTTTGTGCCTTTAAATTATTGAGTAATGGTTTTTAAATATTACTTCATGCTTCTGTTCTCTATCATGGTGTGAAGGTATTGTGTATTTAGCTTATCTGAGATATGCTCAGATTTGTTGGACTTTAGAGTACTTGTGTTTTGAGTCTAGAATGCAATTGAAATGTGGCTTTTTTTTGTACCCCATTTCAATGTCAACGAGTTAAAAAACTCAACATGGCGGACCGCAATGATTGTATTCTCTCAAAATTAACATCTAGGGACCTCAGCAAACTCCGACCCAGATTCTCTCTCCAAATCCATTACATGCACCTATTGGAGGACGGTTAATATCCATCTCCTTCATCTTTGGTGGATGATGAAAATGGGGGAGATGTGTAGCCACCTATTGAAGATGTGGAGGATGATGCTAATCCTAATGAAGTTGAATCTGAAATTAAGAAAGAACATCCAACTCAACCACCACCACCACCACCACCACAAGCTTCAGTCACTTTCTCTGACCACCACTAGCTTCATTCACACTCTGGCCACCCTCCGTGCCCATTCCCTGCTTAGGTCACCCTCCCCAGCTTCACCCTACCTCCAGCATAACATACCCCACCCCCTTGTCACCTTTTAACCCCTCCCCACCCACTCCTACCACCCTCCAAACCCATACTCACCCATCCTGTCCCTTGCTAACCTTCTTCCTACCCACCTCACGCTTCCTCTCTTTTCTTGATGGCCTTCACCCCCCTTCCCTCTCCATTCTGTGACTCTTATCCAGCAGCCACACCCCCTCCCCCTCCACTGCCTTGGTCTTTGGCTTTGCCTCTGTCTCTGCTTCAACCCCTCCATCCATCTTGACAGGGAGAGAATTGCGATGCTGCATAGGTGGTTCGGGGCTGGTTGGGAAGGGGTTGAGGGGAGGTTGGGGCTAGGATTAGGGTTTTAAATGTTAGAGATGAGGGTAATTCTACTTGCACCACAAAATTATCTCCTTGCACCTTTAAAATTTAAAATTTTTATTTTATTTTCTTACAATTTTCATAATATCATTCTTATCATCATCCCTACCCTTCCACTCTTCTCCTTACACCCAAACCATTCAAACCCTAGTTTCTTCACCTCCAACTGATATATTACTGCCGTCATCAGCAACTGCTACCGCCGTCACCGGCCACCGTGTAAGCCCTCATTGCCGTTGCTGCTGTCAGCAACTGTAAAACAGAAAAATGACTCCATGTGTTGGATGGTGGATCCCTTGGGTGGTTTTTCAGTCCACTCTCTTTATTTTCTGTCAGAATCAGGATATGGAAGTGTTTCTCCCTCTCTGAAGATGATTTGGAGTTCAGCTGCTCCTCCAAAAGTCCAAAGCTTTGGTTGGTTAGCGTGGCTTGGCAGAGTAAAAATCTTAGAGTTGCTTCTAAGGATTGGTGCTTTTTCAGATCAGGACACAGTCTTTGTGTTTTTAAAAAATCTTAGAATTATTGTGAGTCAGTAGAGGCTTTTTCTGAGTCTTTTTTGATGATTTGGACTATTCATATTGTAAGGTTTGCTGAATAAATCATCCATACAAAAAATAAATTGATTGAAATTTATAACTTTATAACAAGAAAACATTTGTTTTTTAAAAAAATAAACGGTTGATATTATCTTGATAATTTTTGTAAAACAATTTGAATATGATCGTGTGGTTACGGATTTATGATTAACTTGATTTTTTTATATGAATGATATACTCAATGAACCGTATAATATGAACAATTCGGATTATCGAAAAAGACTTAGAAAAAGCCTCCACGATCTCACAGCAAATCGCTACTGTGATTTAGTTATAACAATATCCCTAGGTCCGAGTGTGTGTAGGGAGAGAGAGATAGAGAGTGAGTGTATCGAAAGAGAGGAATCTAGTGGCAAAGTGAGTGTGTGTTTTGGTAACCTTTTTTTTTTTTTTTTTTTTTTTTTTAAGGAATAAATCTGAGCCACTCTCTGTAAATGATGTGGCCAAATCTGAGCTGTCCTCTAGAGGAAGCATTGGAGATAGCTATTGGAAATTATCTGAATACCATTTTATGATGGGTTCGATTAATCGGTGATTTTTGTTTTTATACGATATTATAAGTTTAAATTAATTATTCCTCCCGTTTCAAAATATTAGTTTTTATTTTATTTTGGGTTAATTAGATATAATTAAAAAAAAACTCAAAATTCCATGCTTTTTCTATTTTAAATCTCAGTGTTTTAGTTTCGACAAATTAAAATTTGAAATTCCTTCCATATTTCAATTTAAAAGGGTTTAAAATGAAAAACATTGGAATTTAAAGTGAAAAACGAGTGAAACCTTAGAGTTTATTTTGTAACTAATCATTTTTTGTTTTTAGTGATTTTCATTTTTAGAAAATAGTTAATTACACAAAAATTTCAAGATTTCACCTATTTTTTCACTTTAAACCCCCCCCCTATACAAGTGGAGGTAGATAGAGAGGACAAATTGGAACATAGATGGAATTTCAGGGTTTAATTTGTCGAAATTGAAATACTGAGGTTCAAAGTGAAAAATGCGTGAAACTACGATTTTTTTTAAAAATTAATCCTTTCATATTTTATTATCTCAAAATATTAGTTTTTTTTTTCAAAAATCAATAACTAAAATAATATGAATTTTATATTTAATTCATTAACAATAATATTTTTGAAATGTCATAATTGTACTACCCAATGGTAGTTTTAAAAAATTAATATTTTTAAAATGTAATAATTGTACTATTAAAAAAATAGATTTCTCAAAATATATAAAATTAATCCTTTCATATTTTATTATCTCAAAATATTAGTTTTTTTTTCAAAAATCAATAACTAAAATAATATGAATTTTATATTTAATTCATTAACACTAATATTTTTGAAATGTCATAATTGTACTACCCAATGGTAGTTTTGAAAAATTAATATTTTTAAAATGTAATAATTGTACTATTAAAAAAATAGATTTCTCAAAATATATATTTTGAGACGGAAGGAATATAATTATAATAAAAAATAAAAATATTTTTTAGGTACCTAGTCAATGGTTAATACTAGTTTAAGGATAATTTGAAAGAAATTGTTAGCTTAAGAGCATAATATTTTTTGAATAAAACTACTTCTAAAAAATGGTGTTTAGCATGTACTAAATTATTATATTTTTTAACATTTTACGAAAAAAAAATAAAATATAAATTAAATTTGAAGTGATGACAGAGAGGTGATATGGCATAAATGAGATGATTTTATAACATGTACTATTTTAGCACATGCCAACCGTGCCTATCTTACTCATACTTAAGGATGTAATCGGTTCGGGACGGTCGGTGTTTGGATAAAATTTTTCACCGAACCGATAATGTCGGTTTTATTATATTGAAAACCAATACAGATCGAATTTTTTATCAAACCGCACCAAACCGTACCGATTCAAACGGTTCGGTTCAATGCGGTTTAATCGGTTTAAGTACTTTCAAAATTAAGTCATTTCTTAAATTTGTAGTATAATAAATAATTTATATAAAAAAATTAAATTAGCCATTTGTATACAATTTTAACCATATCTAATCTAACCATACACAAAAATACAAATAAAAAAATTAATAAATACTAAGGCTTGAAGCTTTTACTGAATTAGAATTAGAAACAAAATATAATCTCAGAACCAAAGTCTTGACATCAAAACAAAACCAAAACTTAAAACAATCATCCCATAAGTCTAAACCACAAGTCTATCAAATAGAGTCAAAATATTCATTATGTATTTAATATATATTATATGTAAATATATTGGGTCGGTTTCGGTGTAAATCAGTGTATAGTGTATCAAAACCGGCACCGAATCAAAAATTGAAAAAAATTAATTTCCTAAACCGAACAGGCTGATTCAGATTAAAAAACTGATCAAATATGACCGGTTCAATCCGGTTCGATCGGTTTAGTCGGTTTTTCTTACATCCCTACTCATACTAAAAAGTCATTAAAAAAATCAAATAAATTTATTTTTATTCAATGAACAGCTTATTTTTTATTTAATTCTCATTCTACTTAAAGAAGAAGAAGAATTGGGTCGGTTTCGGTGCAAATCAGTGTATAGTGTATCAAAACCGGCACCGAATCAAAAATTGAAAAAAATTAATTTCCTAAACCGAACAGACTGATTCAGATTAAAAAACCAATCAAATATGACCGGTTCGATCGGTTTAGTCGGTTTTTCTTACATCCCTACTCATACTAAAAAGTCATTAAAAAAATCAAATAAATTTATTTTTATTCAATGAACAGCTAATTTTTTATTTAATTCTCATTCTACTTAAAGAAGAAGAAGAAGAAAAAAAATACTTTCATCCATCCTCACACTGTTCGAAATGGGTTGATTTGATAAGAAATGTTGAGAAATGAACTATTTTTCTATGTTTGGATTATAAATTGACTAATGGCTCATTTCGTAACTCAATTTTTTAGTTTAAAAATAAAATAGTTAAAAATTTATTTTTTTCTCTATTTTTTTAATTTTTCTCATAAAAATTTAAAAAATTATCCTAAACATACTAATTTTTGAGGTAAATTACAAATACACCCCCTAAAATTTGTTTAAAGTACAAATTGCCTCCTGTAATTTAGAAAATTACAAATACCTTCTTGTTAGTATTTTTTATTTAACAGAATTAACTAAAAAAATTAAATTCATAATTGCTCTCCTATACAATAATAAAATTATCTAAATTATTAATTGAAACATATTTATAATATCATTAAAAACTATTATTTGACTTGATAATTTATTAATAAAAAATGTGATTTGGTATAAAATTACAAACCTTAGGGGTGAAATGTAATTTCCAAAACTACAGGGAGCGATTCGTATTTCAATCAAACCTCTAGAGATGTATTTGTAATTTATCCTAATTTTTTTATCTCATATTATAGTAAAAATATTCAAAAAAATTACTAAAAAAACATGCTCTCAAACAAGCTATAAGAAATGATGAAAATTTGTGAGAAAGACAAAGCCCTTGTTTGGCATGGGGCTAATTAGTTACAAAAATACAAAATATGC